CAACCGAATTAGTACACGACTGTAATCTGTAAGGCTTTCACCTTGCAACTGCATTCGGCCGTACAGGGTTCTTGTCAAGGATTGAACGGACTCTGGAGAATCGAACCGTGTTTTTTTTCAGCAGCGCGGTAAGCTTATTGAAATCATCCCTTTGTTCGTTAGGGGTACATAGCACTTCTTCCTTGGCAATCCCGCCCAAGTAATCTAAGGCAGTACTCAATTTTCCCCATCTCCAAGTCCAACTTGCCTACAATATGTCCCGATATCGGCCAACCACTCATGTATGGTCTGATCCCCAGCTCTAGTGGGAGGCCCACAAAATTTCACCAGTCGTACTGTGCTGACTCGCTGGTACTTTAAATTCTGAAATGCCCCTGCAAAGTGTCTGCGAGAGCTTGGTTCGATTGCAATATGGCATCAGCCACATCTGCAGGTAAGGCCATGGTGCAAATATCAAATTGTCAGGACAATACGGTAAGTAAGTGAGGAGATTCAAGTCACACAGAACAGTACAATAATTTAAAAAGACTAACACATGTGTGGCATCTTCATTGTGTACAAAAACATGTACAATTGCCAGTCAATCACTACAGTGTATCATTAATTTTCCATAAATACCGACGTGAATCGTGTAAATAAAATATCAATGGGACCAAAAAACACAAATTACACGACATAATATTCTACATGTAGCTCCAAACCATGTGCCAACTTGCACGACGGGCTGAAATTGAAACTTGAACAAAGCTTAAAGCTTCTTCAAATAATCGCAAGTTTGTTTAAACTCTTAAAACAAATTTTATAATAAACAAATTTTTGATACAGCCCTATAATGATAAGTTCGAACTAAATTTGACACTAGGGGTCTTGTCTGGAAGTGGAAAACGGCATGTCATCCCATCCTCGTCGCCATTCTGTAGTAGCTGGAAAGCCACATATCAAGGGTCGCCTCGTCGGCAGGCCTCGCCGTTGTTTTATTCAACAGATGACATGACAAATGACAAGCTTCAGATCTATCTGTTATCTAGCTTTATTATCCCGAAGAAGACAAGACTTCTTTCAGTAGAATTAAAAACCCTGAAAAATACAATAAGTGAGGTGGCAATTAAGTTTCTAACAAAGTAATCGGTCTGATTTATAAATATTATTAAATAATAAATTATACAGATAAACCTACCCCAGTGCCTTTGGCTTCCGTTATTTAAGGATACACAAAACAGCACAGCTCACAGCTTGGAGAGAAAGCCCTCGAACTGGTCTACACGTCGCAGACTAGGTATGTCTGGCTATGCCAGGCTCAGCCAAAAGAAAAGTTATCGTCTTGCACTTCAATAATAGTACGCCAAAACAGCGTTATCTCCCTGCATCTGCAGCATGCACTGGCTTTTGTGCGCTGTGTCATATAGGCCCCAATGTATACATTTGCCACGCAATGTATACATTTGCATCCAAAACGTATGGCGTGCCTAAGCACGGGGTGACAAAATACGTTTTGATGATTTTCAAATTATTATGAATCGCCACATTAATATTAACAAACTGGAAAGGAAATGAATATTTTCGAGAAGGCGTGGACGAATGATCGCGAAAACACGTCCTGCACGTTGTGAATAACAACACCAAGTACACGATATAAATCCATTTCTAGCCAATTGCGGTATCGAATCAGGATGCAGGAAGGAAGTTTCCTATACAGGGTTTACTATTGAAACAACGTTTAAAATAAAGTAAGCACTGGGGACGAGGTTGAGTCGGTATTAAACCGATCACTTCTGCACCTTGCCAACTCGGCACCTTGCCGGCACAACAATACAGGGCCACTCCATTCAGGGGTCAGACAAGTCGACCGTTGAGACAACTCGACCGTTGAGACAACTCGACCGTATGTGCGATAAATGGAAAGACAAGTCGACCGTTGTGACAAGTCGCCTTGCATGTTTTGGGGCCTAGTTTTGGGGATAGTACCGGGGATTTTGACGGCGGCTGATCGCCGTTTGGGAGTGATGACACAAAAGTTTGGGTTTTTTTTGGTAGCATATAACAGAGCTGATATAGCGCAGCATGTTGTCCGTGCACATCGTTCGTTTTTTTCCAGGCCTGTGCGCGCAACCCCGGTCAACGTGGCCGTACTGTACTGTGCATGGTGGCATCGTTTTTGCCGGGCCTGTGCGCCCATTTGCCGGTCAACTTGTCCGTAGGCCTACCATGCACGGTGAGTCGGTGACATCGTTTTAGCAAGCCCTGTGCGCCCACTTATCTCATCCCCAGTCGGTCAACGTGGCCGTACCGTGCACGGTGACATCGTTTGTGCTGGGCCTGTGCGCCCACTTGCCGTACCTGCGTGCTGGGCCGGGCCCGGTCCTCGCGGGCAGGGCGCGCCGGCCCGACGCGACGGCCACCGGATTGGAGCGCCCTCTGTGCATCGAGTATATGCCCGTGCCGCACCCGGGATTGGTTCTGCCATGCAACTTGTCCCGCTCCACGTGTATACATTTCCATTAAGTCAAGCTGTCTCAACGGTCGACTTGTCCCGAGTCGAGTTGTAACAACATTTGCTATTGTGTCTGTGGGCAAAATGCTTCGCGTATTACGCGAACGCTCACCACGGGCTAGCCCCATAGGCCTAAATGTGGCCAATTTACCTCCGTAAACAAAAGCCACACTTCCACATGTACAAAAACCTGTCGAACTTTGTCAAATTTTGATTTTACATTTAGGCTTAGTTTGTAGGGTTTTTTTGCTTTAGAAGATACTCACGGACACCCTCTTTATAAGCTAATCTAAAAGTGCTGCCTTTTTCAGATGTCTAATTTTTGTGAAATTTGATGTTGAAATTTTTGATACGCAAACGTGTGCAAATGAATCTGGAAATTATGGGGGCAAGATTAAAATATGCGAAGTTCACTAATTTTCCTCTGTATGACTAACAAGCCCCCAGATAGCAATTTCATGTCATCAAAGTCAATTTGAGCAGTGAGAAAATACAAGCATTTTCTTAGAAAACACTTACAATTTTTCAGTCCACTCTCATAGGGTTTGTACACAGAGTGTTGAGTGAACTTCGTATATGGAAATCTTTCCATTATGGGAATCTTTCCATATCGAGAATCAAAAGTATTTCCTTCGTTATCTTCGAAAGTTAAAAGTGCCAGTAGTGCTTGACGAGAATGTCGCACTTTGCCGCTGACCGATAAAGCGCAGCGTGTTTTCGCGTGGGGCAGACCAGGCTATTGTACGCACAATCACTGGTCAACATGACCATCTGTTAAATCACTTGTGCCGCCGCAGTGTAGCCTGGGTGTGATTGCTAAAGCAGTTTTTTTTCTTCAGATTAGCTCATGTTTGTTGTAATTTGAAATGCACTTTCAAAGAAAATGTGACTTTCCTACCTCTTTTTGCCGTCAGAGACGTGAGACCTGCACGTTGTAGTTCTCCCAGTACGCATGAAAGCCTGACACAATGAAAGCCTGATGCTGATTGGCTGATAGAAAAACCTAGAAAAAGTTTTTGTTATCATCCAATCAGCATCGAGCTTTTAATTCGGGCGATTCACAATGCAGTGCGCCACCAAGAGTTTGCCATGGAGAAATAATTTTTCCTAGTGCATTGTGGGAGATGGTCGACAAATGCGCAATGCGGGACATTTGAAATTGTTAGTTTTTTCCGGCCAGAAAGTTCATAAGCATATGATTCAAGTATCTGTTTGCCTTTTTCTTTTTTTTTTATCAATGTGGAGTTTTTTGTAAGGCGGCAGAATGCTTTGCCCCAATCTTTAACAAATTAGCTCAAGTTTCTACTGACACTCGTTCAAATGGGCCATGCTTTGTCGACCATAAACTTGAAAAACGAACTCTCCGTGGCAAACTCTTGGTGGTGCACTGCATTGTGAATCGCCCGAATTGCGTTTAGCTGTTATTGCATCTAGCTTTCAAAGTTGCCATCTTGAGCCTGTTTTCTGGTTGTTGTCGTTGTCTTTTCCCCCATAATTTCCCTCAAAAATCAAAGTCCTGCCCTCTTCACACGAAATTAAACCTGTCAATATTCAAGAAGGTGTCATTACCAGCTGTTCATATGTGTCAAGAAATATCAAAATGTCACTTTTGAGTGTCATTTAGTTAGCTGTATATAGGAACGAAGTCCTAAAGATACGATTACTCCAGCCCACCTATCAGCCATCAGAAAGCGATAACATGTCCTAAAAAGTCAAATTTAGCAGGGAAAATATTGAAGCATTTGATTTACTGAGTAAACCTTAGAATTGTTTTCAGACCAGTATCATACTAGTAGGGTTTGTGCACAGGGTGTCAAGTGATGTCCAGGTATGGAACTCTTTTCCCTACTCCTTTCTCTAAATTTTGCTTTATGTGTGAATCTTTAGGGTTTAAGTAAGTAACAGGACTAACAAGTTGGCTTGAAATTTCCAGCTTACTAGGCTCATCCTCCCTAGTCCGAAAATTTGAAACTCCCAATAGTGGTGTATGAGAGCCCCAAACTTAAGGTATTCAAAACATGCAATTCAAGAAAATAGATTGTGAAAAATATTGAAGAAAAGTCTCCTTTAAAAATTGACTTGAGTCTTCCAACTGGGTTGGTGAAATACTGAGGACCTTTTTTTGGCCACATCAAAAACTTTGGAGAATTTTGCTGGCTTAAGAGTGAGTGAGTAAAATTGAGCACTCACGGTCGAACACTGGAGCCTCCCCATGTCATGAATCTAAAATGGTTCACAGTGGATTTAAAAAGAATATTTGATAATTGTCAGCAGAAGCTAGAATTAGGAACAGGGATATTTCAAACTTGCAGAAATTTCATTTCCATGGAATTTGGGAAACAATTTTGCTCAAGCAAGGTGCTGCTTGTAAACAATCCAAGTGCACTACATTATTAGGTGGTGTCAACAGTTCCTAGGCATGGGCGTGTAGACATCCAAGACATCCCCCATGATGTCATTGTGAACTACTAAACTAACAAAAAACTTCTGTCTTTTTTGTTTAAACTAGAGGGCCTAGATGCCGAAAAAAAAAACAGATTCCAAGTGGAGCTTGAGTTCGTCCAGTGTCTTGCTAATCCACATTATTTGAATTGTAAGTATTCCAGACCATAACATTCAGACTGTTTGACTTTTGATCAACTTGACTGGCAACTTCTTGTCAGGCACAAGTCATAATATGTATCACTACACCTCATAAATGTTCATGATCAAATTGGACCACATCATTGGCCGATTGTGCTGCGCATCCGGGAAGTAAAAATGACACCGCCCAGGTGACATCAGTAGTGAAGCCCGTCTAACCAGGATATTTTCCCCATTTTTGACGGACTCTCGACCAATCAGAAGTCCGGATTTGGCCCCACGTGACCCTCATTAGCATAAAATGAGCAACGGGAATCTACCATTCACCACGGGGGAGTGTGACGGGCGGAGGGGCTTGCGTAAATTTAAATAATAAAGGCGCGTACCATTATTACGGTATCGAATATTATACGTATCACAGCAGTGAAAACAATACGATGTACATAGGGACAAATACATAACATAAACTTACGTATAGTACAGTAAAAAGCCCTATATACATCTGAATTGAAGGGATTTTTCAAGCCGCATATCATACTCGTGCCTGTTTCCACTCTATCATAATAGCCTTTGTACTCGAATGGGGGAATCCAGTGACGTCATAGTGCTGACTCATCGAATGATGACAAACAACCGGACAAGTCCGGTCATGTGCATTGTCCGCGGTGTTTTTAAAATCTCCCCGTATGGAATCGTTGTTTGTGGCCGCATTGCTAAGAGAACGTTAGATACAATCACATGTATATGCCTCGCTGTGCGTCGATGCTGAGCTTGAGATTTAGCGGTACCGAGGAACAATTTTGAGCAGAGTATTGAATTATGAAGAATCTGACCACTGAGTTGACGACTCAGTCATGGGAAGCTGATAAAAGGATTATCGTCACCGTTATATAATCGCTTCAAAACAACCTTCATTGTGAACATATCCAAGCCATGAATGGATTCGGGGGCCATCGCATAATTATGATGTCATTGCACTTATTTGCTGGTCAGTTTAGTGCACGTGGAGCGTTGTACTGTTGATGAGGGATGACGTATGGGGCCAGGTAGTCAACAAATAAAGCAAATAATAAGGAATGGGTATTAAGATAAATAAAAGGAAAACATTTCACACATGATTTTCAAAGGCAGTTTATTCATTCTTATTCAGGCATGCCTCTGTAGTTTATATCTCCGTCCGAACTTTTGTCACACATGTGACAAGCATAAGGTTTGAACTGCAGAAATAACATTCATGTTGCTTTTTGAAGGTTAAGCTCCGATTGGTAAGAAACGGATAAAAACGTTTTAAATAAATAACTACTTTAAGTCACTGCTCAAATCGTGCTCAATTCATTGCTCATTACTCGTGAGTAACTGCTTTTCTGCTCACTCCTTCTCATTTCCATTGCGCATCTTCTCAATCCATTGCTCATTTACTCGTGAGTCACTGCTCATCTACTCATGAGCACTGCTCATCTACTCAGTTTCATTGCTCATTTACTCGTGAGTCATTGCTCCACCATACTCATGGAGTAAAATGAGCAGCGAAATTTTTACTTTGAATTTTTACTTTACTTTTTGTTCTCACGACAAAAAGTAGTAGCGCGCAGTTTCCGACCCGACGCAATCGCGATGTGCCGACGACCGGCACGCGACCGGGGAAACACGGGACACTCTGCACCTGTCATGACTGTGTCGGCCAATGCTTTAAGTTTCTGTGCCCCTCAAAAGCTCCCTTTTATGACTCTTTTCTTATCGGACAAATATGTGGCTTTTTTTATAATGGTTTAATTGTTACTTCTGTCAGCGAACGATGTGTGACTTTTACAGACAATTTCATGATTGTTTATTTATATTCTGTTCACGAAAATGTGAAAAAAATAAACATGTACATATTTGTCCTAGTCAGCTAGTACTGTAGTAGGCTTAGTTAGATAGCCTACTTCATTGTTTTACTCATGAAAATAATTGCGAAGTCTTATGTGGTTTATTTTTTCTCCGTCATCAAACAATAAATATCTCTATCTTACGTTTCCCCTTCTCTTGATAGATGTCATCAAAGAGCATGTAAACACACTCAGATTCCACTCATGCACGGATAAGAAACACTTCCCTCTCTGGACTCAACTGACCCAACGGCATGATTTCAAAGTAAAATCATCGACTACAGTCTGCAGCAACCACTTTAAATACGGCCAGCCATATCCTGATGAACTTCACCCATCTTTATTTTTGAGAGGATACGACCTTCCTGAGACACTGAAAAGAGCACCGGTGAAGAGTCGAGCATTGGATCTCACTACACCACTGCCGGCCATCTGAGAAAATCAAAACCTTACTGTACCTTTTCTTAAGTTTTTAGCTGTTTCGGTGTACACACCGAAACAGCTCTTGTTTTCGTTAAGATTTTTGGCTTTTTCGCAAATTTGCGAAAAAGCCTTTGTTTTGTTCTCATTTTTTTTTTTTTTTTGGCTTTTCCGCAAAGTTGCGGAAAAGCCTTTCTTCTTGTTCCACTTCAAATGCCATTGACTTTGTGCATGTTTTTCCTCAGTGCCACTTTTGGCATTAATTTTTGCCATATATCATTCAAACTTAGCATAAGCATAGTCCCTATAGCAAAGATGTGTCCCGAAGATTGACGTCATGGTGACGTCATCGACTAATTTATTGTAGATTTTTGAATATTTAATTTTGACCATAGACTTTGTACACAGAAATTAAAAGGAAATTGTCGATTTTCAAAGGGCATTTTCGACTCTTTGCCAGTAATTCATTTACACCAATCTTTGTCCAAGGAAAGACCCTAACTCAAACAACATTGTGTAATGATGACGTCATCATATGTTTTATTAATGGGCAATTAAATTGTGACACTTTTAATATTTAAAATACATAAGAAATCAACCGTATGCGTCCGCAGCATTCTGTTGCCGGCAGGTGGTAGAGTAGGTTGAGGTCTTTATTTCATTTAGTGTGCGTGAAATCACGTGACCCTTGCTTCCTGTCGAAAAAGGCCAAAACCGGAAGTGGCTTATTATTTAAAAGTGGTAATAGATATGAACTTCCTTTTAACGGTGTTAGTCTCTTGGCTGAGCGTATTCTTCAATTCATCTACAGATGACGTCATGCAATCTTTATCGTCCTCTAGCGACAGGTTGAACATTTTCAAAAATGTATTTTGAATAGATGTCTGTGGCGAAAGTTGCTGGAATCGCCTAAAATTGGTGTATATGATGATCTTGACCCACTTAAGACGTGTGCAAAGTTTTAGGCGTATGACGTCATCAGACCGGAAGTTCCGTTGAAAAGAACTTTCCTTTTTCAAAAATTGCTAACAAGTCAATCCGTACAGATATAATCTTGAATTTCCTATTAAATGATAGGGTAAACATTTGCCTCAACAGTGCCAAGTTCCCAGCTTGTCAAATTGTTCACACAGTTGACGCGACGTCGGCTAAAAATACCCTTGCGCAAGTTGCGGTAGAGAGCTTTAAAACATGCACAGGACTTCCACGATGTGTATATGACATGCACGTACGTTGTACATATATGTACGCACATACATCGTATGTAAGTCAGCCCGACCGCATGCAGCGCACGTGTTGCCGAGGTCTAATCCTGTCCACAGTGACCGTTTTAGCCGATTTTCGGCTAACTTTGACAGATTTTATGTTTATGCTTCCTTATAATCTGAAATTCATTGAATGTAATTTTTTGATTTTTTTTTTTTGATTTTTGAACTTTCAGCATTGTTTTCCAATGAAATACACTTTAAACTTCAAAATGATTTCCACACAATGAAACCACAGCCTGTGGTTAAACCGAGGTGTGCTTAACTTGAAAATGAGAATCTTTAAAGAACCTGCATTGTGAAATGTAAGGACGCCCTCTTGTGGCTGAATAAATTGTCTGCGTAATACATACATGAAGCTGTACATGCAGATATCACCGCCGTTTTTTTATTTGCGTCGTGTTTGGCTGGAGGTTTTGGGTCCGAAAACTAGAACAGTGTATTCTCAAACTGAACGAGTCCTTAAACTTAACAATAGAGTAAGACGAACGTTGTTTACGCGGTGCGCAAAACTTACGTGGCTTAAAGTTAGCAGACCAGTAAATAAACTTTTATAGACCCCAATGGTAAATGCTCACACTTCAGAAATTCGGGAAAATACTCACTCTCCAACGTGTTCAAGACACACATCAAATTAAAGCGTATTTCATCATCTTTCATTTTCTTTTCAATTTTTTTGGGGTTAAATGACGAGTTTTAAAAGATGCTATGAAACATCATACACAATTTTTTTTTTTTTTATGAAACAACGCAGATTATAAAATGGCGATGGACTTTAATGGGTTAAAATGTGATATAACCATATCCTATCTGTGATTAAAAAACACAACACATTTTTATTTGTATAATTTTTTTATTTGTATGAAAGCATTTTCTTTAATATAAAACAATAGTATTCTACCACAAAATAGCAAAAATGTTTCCTCAAAATTCCATAAATTATTGTTCCCTGAAATCCTTGAAAATGTCATGTTTTGCATTGTTTACGATATCCTGCTTGAAACATCCGGTTGATGTGCGCAGAGGGTGAAACGTTTACAGCTGGAATCTCAACCAGCACTGAACACACATATTTTGGGGGTTGCAAAAGTGCCCCCCCCCCCCCAGGTGATTTTCAATGGATGTTTGTGTAGTTGTTTATATCCCAAGCACTTTACACCATTCGACTCAAAATGCATTTTGTAGCCCAATTGCGCATTTGCCAGGCTGCAGTGTCTCTTTAATGAGTTTAAATCTATAAATGATATTGTAAACAAATACTTAAATTAACATAGACGAAATGACGCAAAAGTAGGCAATTATCTCGTAGCAATTCACAGCTTAGCCAGTGTCACACAGTCTTACTTATAATGTGCTCACTTCTTCACAAACACAGTGCAGTGAGCACACGCAATAAGGTTGGCGATAATGTACAGCCGCAGCACAATTTTGCACGTGCGTATTGAAGTTAAATGTCCCTTTTGGAGAAGTGCGGCACACCTGATAAGTGAGACCATGACACTGGCATACTTGGTGCGAACATGAATCAGCCAATGCTTGATAATATCACATTTTCATAGCAATCAGACAAAGTATGCACCGGCATTAATATGCTTCCCCCCCCCCTACA